TCTAAGAATTTTATAATCAAATAGTATATTAAAAATTTAACAGTAGTTATTACCTAGATTACATGTCCAGAGTCTGAATCCAAAAGACCAACTATTGAAGATGCAATCTCAGCTTGGAAGGGGGTAGGTAACTGAAGAAATGGTTGCCCATAGTATCTAACATACATCTACAAGAAACCAACCATCTGAAATAGAAAAGAGATACCAAATTAAGAGATGATTTTTGTCTCCAAAAACCATCTTACAACTCGTACAGAATAAATCATCAAAGTCAATTAGCAAATTTATCGCACTCTGAGCTGTAATAGATAATAAAATGAACACGTAAAACCATGTCAAGAATTTCATAGGAGAAAAAAATAAGAATTATAATGGAGAAAAGGCAATAAAGATTAAAGGGGGAACTAGAATTCAAAGAGAAATTGTAATTACTCTCTTAAACATGGAGAAAAGAACTTTCTTCTACGAAATGGGCTTAATCTAGCCTTTGTAGATCAGTAGCATTATCAGCTTAAGTGCTGAAACAACCAGCCTTAGTTGTTCTGAATGGAAATTCCTTACCACCAGAAGTTTGCAAACATCGGAAAGAGTTTACTGAGTGCTCAGAAATATGTACACTGGAAATCAACTCGCAATTCAAAGTTGTGATTTAAGTAGATAAACACAAAGAACGCTAAAGATTTTTAGCATACCTTAGTGTCAGAAAATTTTTTCACATTTATGATAATCTTTACATTATAAAAACTATTGTCACCAGGCCCATCTCTAGACAAGAGTTCAAGCACCATATAGCTAAAGCCTTTATCAACCATTTCTAGACAAATTTGCCTTGCCCTTGACGTATCATTGTTTTAAAGAAATCCCTAGATATTGTATTATAAGAGCAGCTATCTGGTCTGCAGCCATCCTCTTCCATTGTCCTGAACAACATATAAGCTTCATTTGCTAGTCCTACTTTGCAAAGTCCTTTAATCATTATAGTGTATGTGTAAACAGTAGGTTGTAGCCCTTTAATAGAAAGTCTAAAAAATATTTCCTTTGCAACTTTATCAGCCCAACATCACTCAAGCCATCAATTAAGACATTATAATAAACGATATCAGGTTGAAAACCTTCTTTCTGCACTGCTTGAAACAGTTCCAATAGCTCATGAATGTGATCATGTTTGCAGAAGCCATCTAGCAAAATTGAATAAGTCAATAAATTTGGAACTTGACCACAAGCAATCATTTCCTTGAAAAGTTCTGTTGCTGTTGAAAGCCTTCCTACCTAGCACATCCCCATTATAAGAGTAGTGTATGTTATAGTGTCAGGCTTTAATCCTTTATGAGACATCTCATTAAAGAGCTCAATTGCTTCCTCTATCATTTTGGCCTTACAATATCCATTGATCATGATACTGTAGCTAATTAAAGTAATTGGGTAACCCCCTGATCATTATTGAAGCAAATACCTTTATTGCCTCATCCATTTCTCCAAGCAAACAATATCCATCCACCAATGCACCGTAAGTGACAATATTAGGCTAAATGCCTTCCCTAATCATTGCTTCAACTACATCTTGAGCCTTTGACACCATCCCTTCCTTAGAAAGTGTATCTGTTATTATATTATAGGCGACAACATCAGGTTTGATCTTCCGACCAATTCATCCAATGAACTTTTAGCCACCTTCCACTTTCTTGAACCACACATAGCCTGAATCAATGAGCTACAAATGAAAACATCCAGGATGATTCCTTTATCAATCATCTCAGAGAAGAGTTTTAAGGCCTCAATTATGAGCCCATCCTTACAAAGCCTGTCAATGACTGTACCGTATATGACAATATTTGGCAGGAAACCACCTTCTTCCATCCTCTTCATCAACCTAACAGCTTCACCAGACTTTCCTATGTTACACAAACCATTTACTAAGGTACTGTATGTAATTAAATCAGGATGAAATCCATCCCAAACCATGTCATCGAACACCCTCCTTGACTCACACACTTTCCCTTCCACACACGATCCATTGATCAGTGTGTTGAATGTTATAACATCAGGATCAAAACCAAGCTCGAACATTTTCCCCAGAGTAGAGAAACCAAAATTCACCAAACCCAAATGACAGAAGCAATTAATGAGGATGCTAAGACTAAAACCATTGTGGATATATCCCTCCAATTCCATCAGTTTGCATAAAGAAACAGTAGCTTCATAATTTTTCATTCTAACAACCACAGTTAACGGTTGATCAAATTCCACCAGAGAAGGATAGGGACACGAACGGGGCATCTCATTAAACAAGGTGAGGGCATCATCAGTTTTATCAAACTCATGTATGACTTTGTTTCTTAGAGATTTCTTGAACTCGGTGCTTCCATGAGTGAGGGTATTGAAAGAAGAAAGCAATGTGAACAAGGCAGATTTGGTATTACCCATTTCTGCAAGCTGAGCAACAGAGGTCCATGCAGAAGAAGTAGCTGAGGCAGATAAAGCAATTCTCCAACTCCTCATCTTTGGGAAAGGGAAGCGCTTGTTTGGTGCAAAGGGCGGAGACGGTAGAGCATGAAACGAAGAAGTTGATAAATAGAGGGAGTACTGCAGCTGGTAGAAAAGGGCTAAATAGTTGGATTTGGTCTCCAAACTTAGATTAGAATTTAATTGGGTGCTAATCTTTTCTTCGTGACAATTAGGTCCTAATCTCTCAAAATTATTTTATTGTCCATTGTAAGCATTTATTAATGGTATTTTGATAATTTTCAATTTAAATGGGAATATTACGAAAATGTACCTTTAAATCAAAAGCATGTCATTAATGAGGATTCACTTATTTCAAATTTTAATTACAAAATTCTTATTTTACAGTTCGCCTTATGACGGACAGCAAAATTAAGACTATCAAAAAGAGGGGCAAGTGGGCACAACATTAGGAGCTCACCTCCTTTGATGGTTCTGATCTTGTAATCTATCACAGAGTGGATTGTAAGATAATTTTTGTTTTAATTAATAACTTTAGCTTTTTCATGAATGTTCAAAAAAGAAAAAAAAAAAAAAAAAAGCATGTCTTTCTTGGCCTAACACTATAAGTTACGTTGTAGATATATCTCAATTCAAGAGTTACAATTCGAATCTCCCAACTCCTCAACGTTGTAACATGTTTAATAATAATAATAATAATAATAATAATAATAATAATAATAATAATAATAATAATAACTTTGGCTTACACTTAGTATCACTCCTAATGATTCAGGAAGCTCCTTGGATTTGATGCAGAAACCATGACAAAAAAGAAGTCAATTTACATCTGCTTCAGCTACATTTTCCAACTAGACAAGTGTTTTTTTCCATCACTAAATAATAAATTCACTGCCATGGTTGCTGTAGATGCATATACACAAAATCAACTGAAACTTCATTGCTAGGAAATAAAATAAGCAACAAAGCAACTGAAACTTCTAGCAAACCTCATAGTTACTAATAACTTCATTGTGAACCAGCAAGAACACATTGCCACGACGGGTTATCTAAGGATGACTATTCCTTGGAGCTGGTTCCCTATGAGTAGACCATCGGGTATGTGCTATTCCGGCATGGACGGAAGAATGATTCCTCCAAGTTCAAATCTATCTCAGCTATCTCTGGGGCACCAAAATTACCGTTAGTTCAAGCCACAATTATCTAGGTGAAGTAAAGAAAATAAAGTGGGAGAAAAATATAGGTATTAGACTGTTCTAATTCAGCAACAACAACCATTTCAACAAAATTAATGATATAAAAAGCATCTGAAGGTACGGTAAGAATCTAAAAGAAAATAAATTCCATTTGTGTATAGTGCGAACAAAATGGGAAAAGTTATAGAATGTTTTAAGGTACTTCTACTTAGCAAGTCTTGTACTTTGACATTAAGAGCCATAGTTAAAGCAGCTTTTGAAACACTGAAAAAACATTCCAGCAACTATGCAATACAACTAATCTGAGATCTTAAGCATAGAGAAATTTGAGTTAACATTTTTTGGTACATTTTAGTGACTCTTATCATAAACTCAGTCAATGGTTCAAGTACAATGGAACTCAAAGTTCAACCGCTTGTGAGCATTTGGTATCCAAAAAAATTGAAGAAAGTTCCACTAAAAATGCAATCTGATTACCGTTTGCAGAAATATAAACTATAAAGTTTCACTAAAAATGCAAATGAAATGAAGCAAACATCCTCTGCTTTATGCAACTTCCTCTCCATCAATAGGAAATCAGTATGAGAACAAGAATCACTTCTGCAATAATTGAATCTGAAAAGTCAGAATAACAGAGAATTAATTTGCAGCTCTGCAGCCAGCAAGAAATTGATGATGATAACAGAATTATTAATTACTAAAGTCAAATGAAAAAGTAAAGTGGATTTTTAAATGTAATGGTTCCTCCTTGAACCTTAAATGTTGAGATTTAATATACTTAGATGCAGTATATTTTATAAATTTATTAAAAATGATTTTAATAAAATTTATAAACCTTTTTTTTATAAAATTTAAAATATAAATTGTATTAAATTATAAATCAGGGCTGGGGCGAGACCCTGAGGTTGGGAAAAATAAAATAAAATAAAAAGAGAAAGGAGAAAAACGGAGTGTTTTTACGGTTAAGAACAAAAATGTTGCCGCCCGCCTTTTTGTAAAAGGTTAAAACCCCTTTTTGGTCCCTGAACTATTATATGGACTCCCGATTTGGTCCCTGAACTAAAAAAATCCCTGATTTAGTCCCTACTGTTTACCATTTTGACCCCGATTTGGTCATTTCGTTAAAAATCGTTCGTTAACTCACAAATATATCAAAAATTTAAGCCACATCAGTTGTACACGTGGATAAATGATGACATGGTAATACCCAACGCAAAAACAAAAGTGGGACCCACCAAATTACAATTTTACATCGTCTTCTTCCTCCAGCATCTTCTTCCTCCAGCATCTTCTTTCTTGAAACTTCCTTCATTCACACAATCAATTCAATATCCTTCATTCACACAATCAATTCAATCAAACAATCAATTCAATATCGAACCCAACAATTCTTCATCTTAAGCAAACAACCAATGTTTTTAAAACCGAACTGGAGGTCAAACCGTTTTGACCTCCGGTTCACGGTTTGAGCGGTTTAACCAGTTCAATCGGTAAAATCGCCGGTTCATTAATATAGTATAAATAGATTATTTTGTAAAGAATTTCACAGGATATCCATTGAGTGCGATGGTAGGTTGTTGCTTTCTCATATCAAAGGTCACAGGTTCGAGTATCCTTATGAACAGATTTTAAATAATTATGGTTTAAATATAGAATAAATAAAATTTCAAGCATCCATCGACAATGCATTGTCCTGGTGGCAACGGGTTGGAATGAACTTAAAGGGCTTCAAGGTTGCAAGTTCAAGCTTCATGGGGGACAAATTTCTCAAGCTTTTGTTCTCAAGCATTGAACCGTCCGGTCGAACGGTTTTTCAGTTTGAGCGGTTCCAATGGTTCTTACTGGTTTTCAAACGGTTTGATCTTCAAACGGTTTAAAAGATAGAATCGAACCGTTTATACTACCGGTACCGGTTCAACCGGTTCGACCGACTGGTCCGGTCCGGTTTTCAAAACCTTGCAAACAACCAAACCCACAAAAAAAAAAAAAAACAGAAATTTTTTTGCCCCTGGATTCGAACGAACCCAGTTCCCGGATTCAAGAAGAGACCCAGCGCCTGAGTGCAAACGAAACCTAGGCGCCTGGGTTCGAGAAGAAACCCAGCCCTGGGTTCAACGAACCCAGCGAACCCAGCCAACACCAGCCCTGGGTTCGTTGGGTTCGACCTGGGTTTGTCGAACCCAGGACCCAGTGCTGGGTTCCGAGGGGAAGGAGGAAGAGAAAGGGGAAGGAGGAAGAGAAAGGGGAAGGAGAAAGAGAAAGAGAAAGGGAAAGGGAAAGGAGAAAGAAAAAGAAAAAAAGAAAAAAGAAAAAAGAAAAAAAAATTTAAGTTTTATTTTTCATAATATTTTTTTATATTATTTTTTTCCACATGATCACTTTTTTTTCCACATGATCACTTTTTATATTATTATATGACATGTCATCTAGTAACTGTTAAGTAACATGCCACGTCACATAATTTTTAACGGAAGGACCAAATCGGGGTAAAAATGGTAAATAGTAGGGACCAAATCAGGAATTTTTTTAGTTCAGGGACCAAATCGAAGGTCCGTACAATAGTTCAGGGACCAAAAAGGGGTTTTAACCTTTGTAAAATGCAGGGGGTTTAGTGGTTTATTCAATTTACTCCGAATCCCAAACCTCCGTCAAAACTGAAGACCCTCCCTCTCTGATTCCCCCAATCTTCCAAAAATGGCGTCTCTATCCCTTTCTCTCTCCCTCCACCTAACCCCCAAACCGCTTCTGAACCCAAAACCCCTCTCCAGTGTCAGCTTCATTAGAAGATCGACCGCCAAGGTTCCGCAATCACGAAAATCCACCATCCCTCGCATGTCCCTGAACCCGACCCCGGCCACCGACCGCCTAATCTCCGCCGCCGCCTACACTCTCCCCTTTTTTAACGCCCTCCAATACGGCAGCTACCTCTTCATGCGGTTCCCTCAACTGCGCACCATCCTCGACCCTATCTTCCCTCTCTTGAGCCTCTACAGATCCATCCCGTACGCGAGCTTCGTCGCCTTCTTCGCTCTCTACCTCGGCGTCGTGAGGAACGAAGCGTTCAGTCACTACGTCCGGTTCAATACGATGCAGGCGGTGGTTCTGGACGTGCTGTTGGTCGTGCCGGTGGTGTTGACCCAGATCTTGAGTCCGGGCCGGGCCGGGCTGTGGTACCGGGCCTTGGTGTGGGGTTACAGTGCTGTGTTTGTGTTGAGCTGTTTGTGTTTTGCGTATGCAGTGGTTTCATGCGTTATGGGCCGGACCCCGTATTTGCCCTTTGTTGGTGGTGCTGCTGGCAGGCAAGTTTAGCTTGTACTCCTGGGTACAAGTGGACGAAACGTCAGAAACGGTACACGTCCGCGGAGCACGCTTGATGAGCTGGTGGCTGGTTTGTGCTCTGAATTTTTATTTGTTTAAATTTGAAAGTGAATTATGTAGTTTTTATAATGCTAGTTTTTATAATAGTTAATTTTTTTTATGATGGTTAATTTAATTTAATTATATAAGGTGCTGGTGATGACATATGGGCAACTTTTATATGTACATTCTTATGCTCTTTTAATTTGTTTTTAATATATTTAGTTTGATTTTTTTT